AGGGAGTCACAGACTGAAACAGGCTCCAGGCTCTGAGCTGACAGTCAGCACAGAGCCCGACGCGGGGCTCGAACCCACGAACCGCGAGATCATGACCTAAGCGAAAGTCGGACGCTTAACCGACTAAGCCACCCAGGCGCCCCATCAAAGGCATATTTAAATTGCAAGGTGATGTAATCTAGCTGGGCACGACGCAAATGCCGCCTCCTCCAGGAAGCCTGAGCCATCACTCCCCTCCTCCCTTCCTGCCCTTCCCTGGACCTGAGCAGCCCCCTGCACCGTGCTGTTATCTCTGCTCTGCATGGTCTTTACTGCTGAGCAGAAGTGTGGACCTGGAGGCCAAGGGGCCGCTCCACCTCTCCGAGCCTCAGTGTCCCCATCTGGCAAATGAGTCGGCCGCAGATGCGCGTAGCCTGTGGGGATCTCGGTGGCTGAACTGGGAAGGCGTGTGCCTGGCTCCGGGCAGCCCTCAGGCGGTGGCTGCTGTCAGGCCTGTCGGCTCCCACCTCCCGGAGGCGGCCCCCGGTTTATTTCCCGTTTGTTTCTCCCCGTCTCCCTGGGTGGGGTCTCCCCCTAGAAGACGCCTGATAAACCAGCATTGAATGGAAAGGAATGAATTATAGGATGTCCTCTTTATACGGGTGGGTTCCAGAGAGAGAATAGAAGCCTCGTTCTCGAATATGGCTTTGGATGAGATTTTGAAATTTTTCATGTTATGGTGGCCCTTTTCCCTCTACCATGCAGAGCGGGGAATAAGACCTCGAGAAAAGTTAGTGGGGGTCTAGAGAGAGATAGGGTCACGGCGCTCCATGGCTCAGTCATGTGATGGCAGTTTAAAAACACTGGCCATGAGATGCTGCGACAGAGAGCCGCACTCTCAGATGTTCAGCAGAGCTCATTCCTCACAGCAGATGGAGGTGGCCGGTCCTCGGATGGGTGTCCCCAACCCTGACCTCAGGAGAAGGCAGCCTCCCCTCGTACGAGAGGAGTTGGGGTTCCCACATTGGTCCTGCTCACATGTCCATCAGTCCAAACTTAGTCACACGCCACCCCACGCCTTGCTGCAGGGAATCTAGTGATGTGTGAGTGAGCCCTGCGGCTCACGACTTGTTCCTGGGGTCCAGAGGGGGGCAGTGGGGAGGCTGGCTCCCATGGGGCACTTGGTGAGGCCTGGGGGGAGGCATCACGCCCTGGGAAGGAAGGGGCACCTACATTAACTGCCACCCACTCTGCCAGCCTGTCACTGAAGCTAGAAAGGGGCCAGGGGGCGCCTGGGTGGCTCAGTCAGTTGAGCTTCTGACTTGATTTCAGCTCAGGTCATGATCTCACAGTTTGTGAGTTCGAGCCTCGCATCAGGCTCTGTGCTGACAGCGCGGAGCCTGCTTGGAATTCCGTCTCTCTCTTTCTCTCTGCCTCTCCCCTACTTGCTCTCTCTATCTCTATCAAAATAAATAAAATTTAAAAATGTTAAAAAATGGGCCGGGGACAGAGGCTGGTGGCTCTGGGATACATGCATAGTGTTGGGGAAATCTGGTCTGGATCACTGGCTGAAGAACCAAGCGACACTTGGAAGGGAGGAGGTTTATTTTACACTGGTGGGCTCAGAGGAGATCATTCCCCAGAGGTCTGAGCCCAGAGCATCAGCAGAGGAAGTAATTTATAGCCTGTAACTTCCGCATTCCTCATTCATGCATGGGACAAGCAATGTGGGAAGAAGAACTCGGAAGAGGGAGCCCTTGATCAGGGACAGGTATTTCCTTTTTTTTTTTTTTTTTTTTTTTAATTTCTAGGAGAGAGAGAGACAGCGTGAGCAGGGGAGGGTCAGAGAGAGAGGGAGTCACAGACTGAAACAGGCTCCAGGCTCTGAGCTGGCTGTCAGCACAGAGCCCGACACGGGGCTTGAACCCACGAACCACAAGATCATGACCTAAGCGAAAGTCGGACGCTTAACGGACTAAGCCACCCAGGCACCCCTGCCCTTCCCAACTTCTGATTGGTCTTGGCTGTGGCTCGGGGTGATGACCCCTGACCCCTATCACCCCTCCCCCAGCGGCCCGGAGCCTAGACCTGCCCGAACAGCAGAGAAACTACGATATCACTTTTTAATACTTTTTAATGTTTTTCTTGGA